ATCCAGGGAAAGTGCCTTGTATTAATAATGTATGTCATGATCAACAAGTGCAGTCAACCTGGGCAAAAACATCTGGGAGAAGCGTCTTGGATTGATAATATAATAATAATAGTGTATAATATGAAGCACAACAACGATAGCCCTCTTATCACCAAGTGAGTACATATGACTATGAGATTGTTTTATCATACAAATCACACTTGTGAGGAAACCTCCACGGTCCACAACTCCAGCAATTGGAGTTGGCAAGGTACCCCATGCTCCACTAGAAGAAAGATGGGAGGAATACGCGTTAGTTGGTCCAGAGGGATAACCAACCAGAGACAGTACAATGGGTGGCAACGTTTCCCTATTTTGAAAAGCAAAAAGACCTGGATTGTAAAAATCATAGGTCAGTTAGGATGGGCAAAAAATCCCTATCTGCTTTACTCAGGTAGTACATAGGTGACGGTCCTCAGTATATATATATTGATAAAAAAGTGATATATAGATATAAATACACCACTGAATAAGCAGCCACTGGTCTCACTGAAACACAGTGAGCATCATAGAAGTATACAGAGATAGTGCTAAGATGTATAATTCAGCATACCAGACCAGGTAACACCCGCCACCAGGTGGGATCCTGAAATATGATGCAAATCAATGAAATAACATTTAAAAAATAATATGACGACTTACCCCAGTCAAAGGTGAACAGACATGTGTATAATCGCCACAGGAGGAAGACATATCTATATTGTGCAGAGAAAGAGTGACGAATGTATTGGGAGTTATCCACATACCAGCCTGAATGATCTCCTCCAAGAGATGGTGGTGTCAAGCAGCTAAAGACTTAGTTTGATGATAAATTTAGTGTGAATAAACAATAAGGAGACAGCGACCTGCCAGGGACATATCAAAATATGCCAGTCAAATGAGTTGACGAACCCAACCAGTGAGCATAATAGGTGAAAGATAACGGGAAACAGAGGAATGCCATAGAACAATTAAACAGGAAATAGAACAAGGAAATGAGGCAGTACAAACCAATAGACACAGCAGGGAAGGAATTGGACTACTGGACAAAGTAGATGATCCAGACCCAAACAGGAATACAGGTGGGAAAGGAAGGTAAGGAAATAAGATAAAAGGCAAAACAACTTCCATGGGCAGCCAAAGTCTAAGGAAGGAATTCCTGATCCGAATAATGAATAACATACAAGGAATGGTAAATGGTGGCATAAATATTGGAACTATGATGACCGCATACCAGAAGGGGGGTTAGGTGTTAAAAAGAAAATGGTACAAGGAACAAACTGCAATGGGTTCAAATAGACAGGACATGAAGAACAACAGACTCGGCAAGAAGAGTGGGCAAGGTAAGATCCTGAGGATGAGTGATAGATATCTGGGACTAGGGTAGAAAGGGAGCAAAACAAAAATCAGAAACCCTCAGACAGAATTTGTATAAATAACGTAAGACACGAATTCCCCTTGAACTAAAGTCTGTGCCCTTCCAGCAGACATCACTGACCTTCAGCCTGGGGACTAGTGTTAGAACCATTGTCTGCTTATGGCAGAAAAATTATCATCCACCATATTAAATCTCGAATTCATATGAATAATGTATAATTCGGGAAACAAACATTTGAAAACAAACGAGTAGAAACAATGGAAATCAAACACAAGAAGTTGAAACTGATATTAACTGGTGATCAAGCACAATTAAAATTGTGTATTCACATGGTGAACGAGTTAAAACACACGTCTATACACTAGAATGCCAACTGAGAAAGTGAGGATTGTGCTACAATACCTGCATTAGTATAGGTGGCACAGAATGGTTGGAGGAAAGTAGTCGAATGATCATCACATCTTACTGCAATGATGCAAAATAATAAAAGAGTATAAAAGACTGGTGCACTGTTGAAAATGTCAGCAATTCTTAGAGGGTAAATGAAGGTCTAGATAGCTTTGGATGAAAAAGGGTGGTAACGTTGCAGAAGTTTGAGCCAGGAGATTGGGTGTAATGGTGGTATGCACTGGTATGTGCATAAGCAACTCAATTCTGGTTGGATTAATATTTATTTCATGCATAAACATTTCAGTGAGGTGATCTACTAGCTACAGCAGTCATGTGAAATGCAAACATATTGACAAAGTAAAGCTGTATATCACAGACACACCTCTTATGGTTTAGTTGGATCAAAAATCTGAAAAGAGTGAGCATGACAAGTGTGAACACAGTAAGAATACTGCGTTATACAATCTCAACACTGCTAATTAGTAGGAAAAGACTAGTAGTGTTTAACTGTGTGGTCTGAGAGGAATAGGATGAGAAAGCGCTTTTAGGTGGGTAGCTGAGCTGTTTGAATGATCAGCAAAGACATGGATACCTCCTAATCAGTATGGATGGAACTAATTGCCTTGACAAGCAGTTAAGGTGATGATTGAATCAACAGTTATGAAGTTACAAGACCTGTACACTGTTGGATATACAACTGTTTAGTGTAGGTATTATTATTTTATTTATTGTGTGTTAATATTTAACGACTGTTTAGTTTTACATAAACACAGAGTTAAAAGTTAATTATTTTAAAGGCAATAGTTATGACAAGTTTGGTTAAGTGACTGTATGAGTCATACCCTGTGTTTGCAATTACACTCTCTAGGCTTTACTAATATTGTTGACATCACATTACTTGAACCTTTACTATTTTTCTCATTACCTTAACTGAGAATTGTTAAATCAGCACCGTTCATATACTTTACAGAAAGTTCGAGACCTCAGTTATCAATGTATAAATATAGGCAACCAAGCAAGCACAAGTTAAGAACTAAATAAGTAGAAAGTAGAGAAAAAGTGAGGTTCAGTCAGATAAAAAATTAGAAAACATACTCAGTGCGTGAATGATTAGCCATAACAGGTGATATTTTAAAGCGAGTTTCACGGTTTAATAGAGATGAGGAGAATAATTTGTCTTGTTAAAGGGTGTTCTAAAGTAATTGAACCCACCTGTGTGGATTTTGAAGAAAAGGAGACAATTATTTAAGGTTCAGGATACAACTGTGGTAACCCACGAGGTAACGTAAGTGAATTATTCATCGATTTGTATGGTGAGAAAAGAAGATAAAGAAAATATTCTACAGCAATTGAATCAGCCCGTGTGGATTTTTGACAAGAAAAGAGAATTATTTGGAGTTTTAGATACAACTGTGATATCCTATAGTGTAAAGAATTCTTGTACATACATTTGACTTGTTTTGAATACATTATTTTAAAACAAGTGGATTATGTGCTGTCTATTATTCAAATTTATTGCCAACAAGACACGGACACCTACTGAAGAAAAATCCTTTGCCCACTCATATTTAAAACCCTGACAAACACCAAAGGAGAGTTGTGGTTCTTTCAGAGTTATGAAATGGTTTTTGTGATGGTACACCAACTGAATATTTTACAGTATTCACTCAATCATCACAGTTAACACATTTGTCTGAATGAAAGCTTGGGTAGCTATAAGATCAACAATTGAAAGGATATGGCAATCTTTGATTTCTCAGTTACCTAGCAAAACCATGTAGTATTTGTGTGGCACAAACCACCCGAGACTCTCTACAACTTGGACAGTTGAAATTGATAGACTTAAATATTAATAAGTTGATATAACTATTGATGCTTGCTAGAGGTTTTAATAAACCAAAATTCTAAAAAGGAGTTGCTATTCTTGAAGTTTTCAGGTGGAATATTTTGGTGAATGTTGATTATAAATTATTTTGTATCTTAACAAAGGTTCACATCTTAAAGCTTGGCAGCCCTGCAAATTCCTTCCAGGTTTATAATGATTGAGTTAAGATTTTAACAATACATGGTATAAAAGCAGATAGTGGTAAATGATAGTATTTTGTTACAATCACTTTTCTTTTGATGCCAATGAAGTGGCTTTGAAGATCCTTCACCTACAACAACTACAGGTAATGGAAAGTTCAGCTAATGACAGGAAATAATTTTTTGTTAAGCCCAAAATTTTTACAATGGGCTTTTTGTGCTGTGTCCACTGTGGGAGGGGATAAAATATCAGATCTTAGCATTATAAGTCCTATCCTCAGATTTCTTGATCTATGTAACAATATGAATGATGACTCGGAAAGTGTAAAATAATTTTTGTACAAATTCAACCTGAAGTTATGTCATTCAAATTTCTTGTTTGAGTGAGTTTTTTCATGACAATATTTACTAAATGCATTTTTTTTTGTTATTTGTATTCATGGGTGGAAACTTGTCTGTGTTTTGGTTTTACATATATAACAGTGTGTATATATATATATATATATATATATAATAAATAAAGTAGTAAGAATAGTCTCGTCCCTTTAGTGGAGTCATTCATAAATACTATATTGCATGTATAAACAAACTCAAAAACAATTATCAGGCAATAGAGAGTCTTGGCCAAGGATCTGACATGCAAGTTGAGAGTCATAAGTTTGAATCCTCATTGCCAAACCTGCTCATTCTAAATGGTACCGACTGGGCTAGCCACCCAAGTGTAAAAATTCTTGGCTTATAAAAATACCAGCTAATGTTGTAATGGGGAGGGGGAAGTCTTGACTGAAATACTAAGGTATAAAAAAATTCTGCAGTAATCAACTTCAGCTCCAATTATTTTTTGTCTTTTTGGTGTTTTTTTAATAAACAGTTTTATTTTAACTAGAAGAGTAATTTTTATTTCCTTGAATAAGATATTGTACTTTGCAGATTTGTATTACACCAAATATTAAGGGTCAATGAGTCAGTGTTTTATATTGGTGATGATGGAGTAGTATCTCTAGTTGAAAATGATTAGCACAGTCATATATTTTGCTGCTTTGCTGAATAACGTGAGATCTCATACAATGAACTTGTCACACAAAGAAAACCAATATGTATGGATAATCTCATTATTTAACAAAAACAAATGTCCTATAGTTTCATTCCCATATTAACTGGCTGTTTGAGATGATGAGACCAAAAACCATTTTGTTCAGCTTGCTATCAAAATTTATTATTTTCTTCCAATTATCTCAAAACCATAAGTCAGAAGTGCAAATATCACTTCTGTAAGCACTAAAACTAGTATTGTAATATCAAACAGTATAAAAAATGTCAACATTCAAAGTTATTAACATTTAAGTAGAACAAAACAGTCATTTTAAAACCTTGATATTTTTGATGTTTTGCATTTTTAACAGCATGGCTAAAACCCATGATAACAATTACTTCAGTAGTATGATGCTTTTGGCACCTAAAGCACTAGCTATGGCAATTCACAGTTGAGATATCCTTAAGATTCCTTTACTGAAAGGTTTAAAAATATTCTTTGTTTGTAGTTTTATGTATAGTAAGTATAAAAACTAGATTCTTATTCAAATTTAATTCCTTGAGCTAGAGGCAAGTCTTTGCTGTAATTTATAGTGCAAGTTGATCTCCTCATGTACTGTTTCCAAGCATCACTGCCCGATTCTCGTCCACCTCCGGTATGCTGTAATACAGATGGGTTTGAGCTTAATTAAATCTATTTTCTTAGTTTCTACAGATTGGCAAATATTAAAGTGTGAAATTCATAACTTAAACACAGATTACTTTTGCAAATCTTCTAATCTTACATAATTGTGTAAACAAATCAGCATACTCTTGTAAAAATATCTCTGTAAACAAACACAACCCTTTTAAAAACTTTACATTTTCTAGGCTAAGTATTATCAAACATTTGGTTCTGGTAAGGTAATGTAGATAAACAAAGAAAAACAATAGTAGTCCTAAAACAGGACCAAAAACATATGAAACATCTGAAAGAATGGCCACTCTTTCACTAGTAATGAAACTCACTGCTTTGTACCTGATGTAAAGAGAATACTTTTTTTTAAAGTTGAAGAAATAATTGAACTCTCATATTACACAAGAAGCTAAGAACAAATATATCTCTCAACTAATTGTTACAATTAAATTACAGTAACAATATCATGGTGTTCAAGCTATCAAGTGGGATTATACAGAACCTTTATACAAAGTTTTACAGATATTATAATTACTCTCTGTAATACATTTCATACAATATCACTGGATTTTTTTCTTTTTCAGTGTGGAAATAATTAAACAAATTGCATGTAAGTTAGTACAAGCTTACTGAAGCATATCTACTTCCAGCTTAAAAAATATTCATAAAATTTGATTTAGTATTTGTATAATTTTTTAGGTTGTGTAATTTCCAAAATTTTTGTTCAGACACCATTTTGAAAAAACATTAGAAATACTTTATTTCATCATAGAATTTTAAATTTTTTTGATTAGCAAATTCTATTTCATATACACAATTAGTTTGAACTTCATTAATTGTTGTTTGTTAAGCACAAAGTTATACAATAAGATATCTGTGATGTATCCACTGCAAACTTGATTGACATTTGTTAACATATTTCTGTTCATACTTTATCTGGCTAACTGCAGTTCCAGTTATAAATCATAAACAAACTCATCAAAAACTGACAAAGATCTAGGACTTAAACTTTAAAAATGGCATCACTGTTACCTTTGTCAGGTCAGGTATTGTGATTTTTGCTAACAATATTTGTTACAAAGGTCAACATTTTATTATATTTTATTTTCATGATAAGTCTTTTATTTGTGTGTGTTGTTTAAATAACATTTAATAATCATGGATTTGAGTCATCAGAATGTTTTGTCATGACTTACTATACTCCTTAAACCTAACTATTAGTTAACCTGATATTTTATTATAGAATAAAAGTTAATTTTCCTACACTGAAAATGTATTTCTGATACACTTACCTCCTCTCACATAAATAACTAGAATTCTACATTGAATAGGTGGATGAGACAGTCAGATTCGAAGATAGGAAAACGTATGAAGTAATTCTATTGTGAGGATAAATCTACAAGTGATCTTGTGGAACACTCCATCTCTGCAGTGTGAGTTGCATGGCCATGGAATTATAATATGTAAGTGGACAGAGTATGATCCAAACAATTAGCATTAATAAGAGGGAAAAATAAGAAAAATAAATTATCCAGTCAAAGTCTCACTGAATTCTGATATTCTAGAATGGCTACTGGTGGGAGACAATAACCTAAAGAGAAACAAAACTGCAATCTGATGCAAATATTGAAAGATGAACATATAGATAGTCCACATGGCTGACTGAAGAAATACCTACAAAGGACTACAAAGATGAAACGTCAATAAAAAGGTAAAGTGTCAAATTGGGTGAGAAGGCACACGGAACAAAGTAGGAGAGGAAGACAATAAAGAGAAAGAAGCCAATGGAAGGAAGAGCCGAACCCAACTGTCAAAGGAAGAGGGAGAAAGAACATGAACAGAGGATGGTTGCCAATGAAGGAAGAGGTGTGAACAGACACCAAAGAAGGAAGCCACGCAGGCAAAATAACAGAGAAGAGCATGTATAGAACAAAGAAATCTATATGGATCAGGATTAGGACAAAGGTGTGAAACAGAAGGAAGAGAAAGTGCTAAATGGGAGTTATTCTCACAAGCTGCCAAAGTGTTATGGAGGGAAAACAATCCAAAAAAAGGACGAGATATGTAGAAGGACAAAGAGTACGTGAAACATCAATGGCAAATAAACAGACTTACTGCCACCCATAAGCAAATAGGAGAAAGAAGAAAAACATAAAGGAAGGTGAAACAAGGAGCACTGGGAGAGTGGTATGAATGTAGGCAAAGTGAGGCAGTGCAGGACCACATTAATATCCTCATCTGGAAAGGCAGCCTGCCATGATGAATGACAAATCTGGAAGGAACACATCCACAGGTAAAGTACAGAAGTAAATACCTGTGGGATCGGGTAAAAGGAAAGGTGTGGGACAGGACCACCCAAAAATATGAGACTGAGGAGACCGAAAACCTCCTATCCAAAAGTCAAGATGGGAAATCTGCATGACTAAGAACAGTGGGTTTATCAGGGAGAAAAACCCTGGACCCAGAAACCAATGACAGAAAAATTCCATTTGCATTGAAAAACTTCCATTCAGGAAAGGCTAACCATCGGGAGAAGCTGGATCACCTTGCCAATGACCAGAGGGAAACCAGGCATGAAGAGGAAGGTCTGGATGAAACATCAGTGACTGAGGATGGCAAAGAAGGGATGGAGACTGAGGAAAAGGTAATGGAGTAGGAAGTTGAAGCTGGAAAAACTGCAGAAACCACAGCTGAAACAGCCAGGAAAGAGCTATCAGAAGGACTGAACAAGAAGTGTCAAGGATGAAAGAAATCACCCAGAGAAGAAGGAGAACAGGAGGATAGACAAATGTGTAGATCCAATCTTGACTGAAAACATAGCCAAAGCAAGAAGACGAGGACCTGGAGACCAAAACCAAGGCAATTAGTGGTTAAGAGACATAGCAAAAGCCTCAATGTGAGGCATACCCCATTGAAGTCAAAGCCACTGGAAAACAAAAGGATCGAGCTATTACTCTGTTGGATAAATGTTGTCTCTACAGGAATCCAATCCATGACAAGAGTGAAAGCACCCTGAACATGACATGCAATGATAGGAATATCGAGCCTCTGGAGAGATGGAGAATGAGTGCTGCCCTGGTGATTGAGATAAGCAACCACTTAAGAAAAGTAGGAATGGATCATTACCTGTTAATTTCTGGCCAGATGGAAAAAAATTAACCAAAACACAACCTACAGTGAGAAGCTCCAGGACATTGGAGAAGACCTCTTGGTTGCACACCAAAATCCTCGAAATTTCCAGTTGATCAACCCAGTTGATGGTTACAAAGTCAGTCCCAGAGACCAAACCCATGCTGAAAGAGTTAGCAGCCCATTACAGCCACCTCCAGAAGCATCTAATAAGGGTAACAAGGCAAGCTACTGTTTGGAATAAGTGAACGGTAGCCAGTCGACCAAAGAAAGAGGAATGTGAAACCCAAGAGTACATAAATGACGAACGAATGATCTGAATGCTAACAAAACATACAAGGCCGAACAAGTCTGAAGGCGCTGTGAGTGAAACAGGTGGGACAAACCAAGTACAGGGCACCAGTCTCTGGTTTGGAGCAAGGACAACAAAAAGTCTGGAAAAAGATGATGAACAGGTGCAACAGTCTGTAGAGACAGAAAATCTTGTACCTCCTCGGACAGACACAGGGGAACTTTACAATAATTTAACTTAACAGACATAAATACTTTTTATTTAAACATATAGGGGATACAACTTATTAACATATAAGATCTTGCCACATTCTAAACCAGATAAGAATATAGAATTCCTAATCTTTCAAACATTTTCCATACTCAGTGTTTTGTTAGTAAGTGTCATTATCTTGCTAATTCATCTTTTTCCACTGATTTCAAAATTCCATAAAAACAAAGGAACTCACTTTTTCACCACCAAAAGCACCACCTATCTCTGCTCCACTTGTTGGGATGTTGACATTCACTATGCCACAATCAGAACCTTTAGGTCCAAGCCACTGTAAGTGGTATAAGAGGAGTAAGTCAGAATGATAACAATCAGAAATTAAAAATAATATTAGTTCAACTACAAAAACATGGCACTTTAGGGATGATCATATGCTATTTTGGAAAACAAAGATTAATTATAACGCATCAAATTACAATAAGCTATTTTAACTTCTAAACTATTATACATGAAGCTATTATTTATTCATAAATAATATATTTTGTTACATAAAAACAGTTATAAATCACATTTTGTTCAATAAAATAATTAATTTAAGTCATATGTCACATTAGTTATTATAAATTATAACAATACAATTTACTCTTGTATTTATTTCCTGATAATGAAGTAAAACTCTTTAGAAAGAAAACAAACAAAAAAAAACTTTGTACCAGGTACCTTGAACACAGTTTCCAAGTTTTTTGTAAATATACTACTGGATAAACCTTGTTTTACTTCGTTATTCCAGGCAAATCCTTCTTCAGTGTTCTTCATTTTGAGGACGTACACTATTGGAGCAAATGTCTCTCTGTGCACAATTTCAGCATCGTGGGTCAATCCAGAGATAATTGTGGGCTCTACAAAATTCCCAGGCCTGTCAACAATCTATATAATCAAAAATCTAAAAGTTAATACTGATTCATACATTTACAAACACACTACAATAACAGAGAAGGCCAACAGTTTCAAATACACCCACAGCAACATGTATGTTAATGCATACATGGTATTAAATGGTAATAAAGTATAAAAGTGTACTGGAAGCCAGTATGTAGTGGTTTTCAGACACACATCATATTTTAAATATGTGATAGTCATGAGATTGTTTAATTAATGTTGTTGATAATTAAACTTCTTTTAAGGTCTTGCTTGGCAACATTTAAACAAATGCCTACAGGTTGATAGGAAGGTGTATTTATTTGAATTAGGTATGAAAACTTTAAGTGAATAAGCTATAAGATCAATTATTTTTGCTTTGAAATTTCTGAAAATATACAAAACTTCTTAACTGTTACAGTATTATATTAAAAAGGTAGATCCATCACATTTATCTTACAAAATACATATGAAATGTTTAATCTAGAAGGACAGTTAGACAAACTCTAAACTATAACTAAACTTTTATTCAGATATACATCTATTCTAACAACCATCCTACTATCTTTAGATCTACACGTAGTTTTACACTAAAACCTATCCTCATGTCGATTCATATGTACCTCTAATTTACATCTTTCCATCCTTCATGTTAAAATGTATTTATTTTCTTCAATCTGATCAAGATACACTTTCCTTTACACACCAATATCACATCCCAATATACTTGTCTCCATATACTCCATTCTTTTTTCTGATCCAAACTTAACTTTTCTATGCACTCTCAGATGCAAATATACATATCCTTATAATTCTTTTTATCTAGATGTACCTTTCCTCCATATTCCACCTTCCCTCCCTGTTTCTGGGCATCCTCCACTGCTTTCATATACATCTCTGCTCCTTGTTTACTGTGCATGGGTCCATATAAAGTACCAGGTTCAAGTGGATCCCCCATATGAACTTGAGTATAGGCTTTCTTCAGTCTTTCTAAAACTTCATCATACAGCTAAATAGAAAGAAGTAGTTAAACATAAGACAAGAACAGAACAGCTACACTATATATTAATCTTAACATTCATACCTTCAATAATGTTCAAAAAACAAAAAAGCCCAGACAAAAAAGTCAAAATAACAAATATCACATACAAATTGCAATGTGAGAATGTTATAATGCACCACAGAATGACATAGGGTTGGTTCACACAGTGGTGGGAAAAGATATTTAATCTCTCTTCCTAAACCTCACATATGAAATGAAACTCGAACCTAAAGAAAAAGAAAATTACTATCACTGCAAGCACTCAAAACAAACTCCTTCATCTTTTCTACATTTAAAACTATAATTCATTATCTGCAACCAGTTGTGTGAAGGAGACTGCTCCTAATGAAACAAAAAAGCAAAGATATGGAACTAGAAAAATAAATTATAAATAAAGGTTACAACAAACAAACCATTGAGGATCAAACTCTCAAACTTGCATTCCTGCTTCCATAATAATAAGAAACAGCTGATATTCCTGTAAACTCAGTAACTATTAATGGTAGAAGAATAAAAAATTAAATTTACTCTCCAACTTCAGTTTAGTATCCTGTTAAACTGGGTGCTAAAAGTGTGAATGATCTTAAATAACTTGGCATGTTACTTGTCTATTTAAGGTAACCTTAACACGTGGTAAGCATAAAAACTGTTGTACTGATGAACATAATTTTTAAATTAGTTATTTATTTTTAACCCTGCCAAATTCTATACTGTCTCATAACAGCATTTTATAATTCTATTCTTAATCCTAGATAAATTGATAGATATATTAATAATGATGTATATGATACACTGATTAGGCTAGGATGTGCTGTTCTCTAGATCATGATTTCTCAAATGGGGAGCCACTGTAAAGTCAGTAGGGCTATAGCAAATACACAATACTGTGTAGCTAATCAGTATCTATAGAATTATTGGGGGGGGGGGGGGGCTCAGTCAAGATGTGGAATGCTCCTGGGAACTTTATGCATCAGAAATTAGAATCATAAAATACTTTACTTTTCCAAAATATAACAATCAGTAACAATTGTTTTCCAGCTTTTATAATTTAAATGATACAGCAGTGTTACAAGTTTTACCTTCACTGTTTTAGTTAAAATAATAAAGAAAACTAATGTGGCCAGTTGAGAGATCTTATCTATGGTAAGCATGTTAAAACAAACTTGGGGTAAAGTAAGTATCTTTCTTTTAACACAGGTTTTATGGTTTTAACATACAAGTTTTATTATTCATCAAAAATCCAATTTTGCAATCAGAATGAGTTAAACAAATAATAATCAGCTACATTGTACGAGAAACAAAACAACATTATTCATTAAGTTATCTCTTGGATAAGAAATTAATATTATCATACTTTGTAAATTATATTTAAACAATATAGTTTAGTTTCCCATTGTATTGTTACTACTTTCTTTTTATACTTAATAGATATACACTTTTGAAGTTCATAAAGGAAAACCAGTAAATATTTAATGAAATAACTTTGCTCATTTATCACAACCCAAGTATACATACTTTAAAAAATACTTAATTTTTTTCCAGTAGCTTTGGATACTTTCTTTCAGTAAATGAAAATACTTTGTGATATTGTTACCTTTTCATGAATGATAAGTCTTCTGGTTGTAGTACATCTTTGGCCAGCTGTTCCCACACAAGCAAATAAAGCTGATCTCACCACCATGTCAACATCAGCATCTTCACACACAACTATAGCATTATTACCTCCAAGCTCCAGAATTTTTTTACCAAATCTCTTGGTGACAGCCTGAGCTACTTTCTGTCCTGTAGCAGTGCTTCCAGTAAATGATACTAAAGGCAATCTAGTATCATTGGCAATAGCATCTCCAATTTCACTTCCACCACAAACCAAAGAACAAACGGCACCAGGAAGACCATTTGCCTACAATTCAGATGGCAAAGATGCCACATACAAAAATATAAAATATAGGTTCTGCTACTTTCTTTGTTTAAAATCAATAATGGTTTCTAGGCCCAAAGTCATAGGCAATAAAGTCTTCTTGTAATAAATTATTAAAAAGTTTTATTCACACACACCATAAAAAATACAACTTGAACAATATGCATATTACACACAAAAAAAGATTTATTCATCAAAAATTAAGGTATTATTATTATTAATCTTTATATTTTGCCCCTCTATCAACTCTGACCTCACATTGCTAACAAATATTTTAAAAGTCTACTTTAAAATCTTGAGTATCATCAGGTCTTAAGCAAATATTTGCAGGTCTGAATTGTTTTAAATTGTTTTTTCCATGTACAGTTACTATGTGTAACAGTAAGTCTATTCTCACCTCAAACACTGAAGACAGAATTTTAATTACAGCAATACTTGTTAATGGAGTAGAAGGGGCTCCTTTCCACAAAACAGTGTTTCCACAGGCTAGTGCTAAAGCATTGTTCCAACCATAGACTGCCACAGGAAAATTGAAAGCTGAGATGACCCCAATAGCCCCAAGAGGATTCCACATTTCAATTAGTGAATGACCAGGACGTTCTGATGGAAAGACTTTCCCTTCCATCATTCTCGACAAGCCCACAGCATAGTCACAAATATCAATGTATTCCTGAACCTATAAAAATATTTCATTAAATTACATTGGAAAAAAAAATGAAAGTTACTAAAACTCAATTTCATAAGAACTTCAAACAGCAATGGTAACAGCATTTCAGACATACATAATTGATACTTTTTAAAACTAACAGAAAAAATTAATACATAATTATTTATAAAGCACTATTTTTTTTACTAACAGAACTAAAATAAAAAAAAACAGCCAAAGGTTATCTTATACATTTCCTTTGCCTCGTCAAGAATGTATTACAAGTGGAGAAGAAAGATGGAAGGTATCTATCTGAAATACATTTTCAGGTAAAGAAAATGGTATCTTCAGAAATGTTACTTACCTCTCTAAACCACTCAGAGCTATAATCTCACACTAAAGATGGTGGAGGGGTCAGTGCTCTCAATTATAAAGAAGAGTTCCTATCCTTATAATGAAGTTGTTTCAAAGCAAACAAATTCAAAAGAATAACAAGTATGAACAACGTCCTAAATAATGGGAAATAAATTACTGAAAATTGAGAGCAAGTGAGAAATGTGCCAATCAAGAAAGTGAGGTTCATGTAAAGTATTAGAGAGGAAGCCAGCTGCTCTAGGAGAGTGTGTCATACTCCTATTAGTGGAGGGTTGTTGCATCTATGCATGCTTAATGAGCAACTCAAACTTGTGGGGTATAAAGGCTAGAGCATCAACAAAAAAATTATTTTCAATGCATGATACAATGGATACAGTGATGGGATAAAAATAAACATTTGATTCCAATTAGAAACTATTATTAAAGGGATATACTGAGTATGATGTTAAACTAAGAACTGCCATTCAAAATGGCAACCCAATGAAGCTGTAACTCAGCAGTTCCAAATTATGGTTGGAGATTCCCTTTCCATCTGACACAAGTACAAATGAACCATCTCTCCAAAGCTCATGGGTGCAGAACCTTGTCTAATGTCAAACTCTCAAAGTATACTAAAAAACAGAGGTGGCAAAAAAGAACAGACTCCTCATTAATATTATTGCGAGAAATCTAGTAGCAGTTACAAATCCCACAGAAGAACTACAAAGTAGATGGGTGGCTACTTCATCAGTAGAATCAAGTGCAAATATTATCCCCAAGATGGATAATTTGGACACTGATCACCATTGGCTTAAACATTTTCCTTTTAATCCAACTGACACTAATAATGTGGTTATAGTGCCACCTGTGTCATTAATGAAAACATAAGGGTTCAGCAGGCATGCATTATTCCCGATAGCGCACAAACAATGCCTGGGAAACTCTTGCTGGATAATAACTACATCTATAATGTGTATGACTAAGCCAACCTTCAGAATATGGCTTTGCTCAAAGCCACAATTGCTCTCACAAAAACCAAGGAACTTCTGCTGGATGGAACTGCACAACCAACCAAATACATCAACTAGAAAAGCTACAGGATCATATATACATCATTTGCTTCTTCAATATCTACCACAGATGCTATAAACAGATGCTCAAGCTGTAGTTGCTCTAATAAAAATTAAGGTGTTTCTACTGAATGAAACCATAAAATCTACCAAAAATATCAGCTGCAACAGCCAGGGCACCACTGTAGCTGCTACAGCTACCATGAACAAGGTTTATGTGGATGCCCACAAACCCTTTATTACAGTCTGGGCCAAGAAAAGTGCAGCCTCAAATGTTTCAGATGACTGCTATTGTGGGTATGAAATGGTGGTTTCTGGTCAAGTCTTGAAAAAGAGGCTATCATCTATAACATTCACAGGTAGAGCCATGGTTGGGGAAACTTTATAGGTAATAGTTAATGGGACAAAAAACAATACCTATGGTTTAACTATACCAAAAGGGTAAAGATCAGCTTGTATAGCACTCCCATGCCACTTGAGTTTACTTCAAGTTAAACCATAAATTTCATATTCTTTAGTGAGATCTAACTTTGTAAACATCCTACACGGACTAGACCTGTAGCTAATGATAAGCAATATAGTCATTGCAAAACATAGTGTCACATATACAGGGCAAAGTAATGCATTTGGGTTATACTCTGCACTAGCACACATGTCTGAAGCATGGCCAGGAGGTGAAACAGCTTTCAAACAACAAAGGTTTCAACTCCAAAACATTGGTGATTTTCAGTAGCAGCTTGGGGGTAAGAGAAATAGCCAAGCTTCTCTCAACAAGAAGTATTATAGGATGCTCAATACTGTCAATAGTATGAACACATCCTTAATTGCTGGTGCCTTTGGCTTTAGTATGTTTGAAGCCAACCTTCTAACTACAATTATTGAAGCACCCCTGGTAGTGGCTGTGGCCTTGTTAGGATCACTGGGAAATATATCAATCACCATCTGAACTGGATGTGCAAAAAAGGTGTTATGGCTAAAGCCAAGCTCAGTACCATTATAGACTTTGTTGGAAAAAATCCTGTGTGATAATGAAATCTCTAATGAATAGTTCCACCTAATATTAGATGAGGTTGATAGGTATACACTGATAAAGGAATAAACTAGATCTAATGCCCATTCTGCATCCACAATAGACAAGGTTGCCAAAAAAAAAGAGAGCTCATTATGCATGGGCACAAGAAGCCCATACTTACATCAAATAATTGGCTGGCAACTTGCCATAAAATGGTCATGATAAATGGAGCCTTCCCTTACCTGTTATTGTTGACACAGGTAAGAAGGCAAATGAAGCATTTTCAACTGTGTTGCAAGGTCTTAATGATGGGAGAGAAGTGTCTCATTCCTGGTATTCATTACACCCTCTAATATACTTTTCATGATACACAAATGCTTATTTGGGGGCACACCTCTAATGCCAAAAGCTGGGAAAAAAATTGGACCTCCTTAGGAAACACCACAAGCAGCTCCTCTGCTATGCTACTAAGCCATTAAATGATGGAGGTATTTTGTTACAAAGTTGCTCACTATAACTTTTCCCACTGGACTTGCCACACAACATTGTTCATTTGAAGTCAAGGAAGGGGTGGCAACACCCTGATAGCACAGCTCCCAATATGCTTACCACACAATGTACAGGTGCTCACTTGAGAGTTGGTGATGATGGTAACCCATCCACTACCTGTGGTAGCCCCAATAAGCCCCTTGCTATATTTGGGATCAATAAAGAGGTAGTCCACAAAAGAGATTAACCCAGATCCCTGCTCCACTTGGGGGCTGTGAGGGAGACATCCATCCCCTCAGCACTCATGGCAGATATCAGTATGAGGTTCTAAGCCCTGCTTCTGCTCATAATAATAGCTTCTAAAATAAATTCATTATATGTATAGATAAATTCATTATATGTATTGATGTATTTTAAATACAAGTAATAATGCTTTTTGAAATTCAGGTATGCAATTTTTCCAAAAACAAGTTCTAATAGTAAATTCGTAAAAGATATAAAAGTATATTCCATTTCGGAAAGTACAGATCTTGTGGGTAATACCTATTTTTGAAAATACAATTCTTGAATGCTGTCTTTCAAAATAGGTAATGATAATACTATACTGTAACATAATGGTAAGTAATACTGTCTCCAAAAATATATGTGGCTAATGTTCTTATTAATAGAGTTTACTAATAGAGTCTTTCAAAAAAAAAAAAATATCATTAACACTGAGTGATAAAACAAGAAATTCTAATCTTTATAAATATAAATGTAGGAGAAGTACATTTAATTAGCTAAACTGATTGGCATGTTCATTTTTAGCTTCACTAAGCAGATAATGTCATTAAGTTACCAGTACCTTCTAAGACAGAGGTACAGTAAGAAACAACCTTGAGGTACCTCTTAAATATCTAAACAAATAATATTTTATCAATAAACAAAAATACATACATATCTACAGTTTCTAACACCAAGTTCAGAACACAACTAAAAACATGTTTTAAAGTTATTTGTAAACAAAGTTGTCTCATTACACTACGCTACTGATATGCTTCAAAACTTGTATCACCCATAAACATGGGTGTGATAATAAAAACAGAAGAAAAAAAAGTTCTTTCATATTAACATACAAGAATACATACAACTTATATACTGAAACGGCACATACAACTGAATGAAAAATAATAAGAACAGAATATGACTATTACACTCAACTATAAAATGAGCAGTATGCTATACCAATACATACCTCTCCTTCTCCCTCAGGCAAAATCTTACCCATCTCCAGAGAAACTAATTTCCCCAACTGGGTTTTTTTCTGCCTCAGCGCTTGACCAATTTGCCTTACAATTTCTCCACGGTGTGGTGCTGGCAGATCTGCCCAAACCTCCCATGCTTTCTGTGTTGCTTGTACAGTTTCGTTATAGTCTTTTATATTTCCTTGAACAACTTCAGCAATTGGCTGATTATTTGCTGGACACATGGACTGAACCACCTAATAAAAACAATTTACACAATTTTCATATTGATGTTCAATGACAGTTGTTTTGCATTTCTCAAAATTTTATGCATACATTCAGTGCTAATATTTCACAAAACCTTTACAGATTGCATTTGGATTTTACAAGAAGAAAAGAGAATTATCAGTACATGGCAGTTTTGCTCAAAAAAATCCTAAATATATTTGTAAATAAAAAAAAAGTATAAGTGCATATACAAAACAATATGAAAAGTAATCCAAAATGAAATGCTGCAAAAAAATTTTTAGGTGGATATAAAAAAAATAACTTTGGTTTGTGTTTTAGCCTTTCCTAGAAAACTCAAAATTATACGCATATACAAAAGCTTGATTAAATAAAATAATTATTTTATGGAATTAACACAAACCTAAATCTCCCAAGCTGGCCAAACCTTGCAAGATATTATTGGCTTTATGGTAAATTAAATATTGTTTATATTGAGGATACTCAAGTAATGAAACAATGCATTTTGATCTTTTTAGGTAAGAAAGTACAAAAAGCATATTTAAATAGCTATGCTAATTACCAGGTTGATTTTTAGTTTTGCTCTAAGTCGGTAGCCTGCTCTGATCAGAAGCTAATACCAAACAAACTTGAGGAAACATGAAGATGCAAAAGAACAAGTTGTACTTGAATTGAGAACACAAAGAACTGTAGATTGATTAGGTATGATAAACCGTTTTTTGAAAATATCCTTAATATTTTTTTACACAACACTAACATACCAGGTATGTTGAAAATGAAAACAAATAAAAACAAGATGACAGAAGGACATTTAGTCTGGTTATGTAATAATTCATCAATCCCTAAAAGTTAAAAATGATTTTTTCTAATTTTTGATAGGTTGTTTAGGTAGAGTATTCAAAATGAATCCAAGTTTCAAATGGACAGCAACTGCCTCTTGTAGAAAACTACAAATGTAGAGGATGGTGTTTCAAAAGTCTTCCACCTTTCGTCTTCAGGTCCAGAGGAAAGGCAGAAGACTTTCGAAACGTCATCCTTTACATTTGTAGTTTTCTACAACAGGCAGTTGCTGTCCATTTGAAACTTAGATTCATTCAGATTTTTTCTATATCAAGTAATTGCATAGCCATTCACATCCAACAAATTTTAAAACTTTTTAATACTAGCAATAAACAACTTATAACACCAAATTCGTTATTTTTCTTTAATTATACGCTCAACGTTTCACTTTACAGCTTCTTCAGGAATGTTCCACTAAAACACAAACCATAACAGTACAAATCTTCAATTGGTTTCAATAATAAATTCTAGTCAAATCTACAGCATGCATTTCTACAGCGTGTGTATGAATATTAATTTCTTTCTTACAGTGACCCTTTTCTGCACATATCACAAGATTCAAGATTAATGTTTGTCCATGAAATCAGCATTAATATTTACACTGTTGTTCAAAGTTTTATATTATCTAAGTTGAAGTTCCTTTATTTCAAAAGAAACCTTAAAGAAAAGTTCTTAGTTTTATTTTGTCATGATCCACACCTTCCGGAAATGTTAAATTTGTGTCTGTATAGATTGAACATTTCTTGACGCATGCTAACCTTCCACATATAGAAATAATTGAGGTTAATTGCTCTATTTACATATTCTTCTCTCAAGTTCCATAGGTCACATTTGGAGAAAGGAGAAATAAATTTCTCTGACTTCTTGACAGATGCCACACCCACTTTCTACCATTGAGTTCTAATTTCTCAGCCAATAATACTTAGTTTAGCTAGATGTTTATAACCAATGGAAAGAGTGCTTTTTGAAGTACGTTCTCTTAACTGTTATCTTAAAATTGGCACAAAGAATTATACATGGAACTAGTCAAACTGCTCTTAGCATTGTTACGGCTTTGTCCTTGCTACTTTAGTGTTACTTCTCACCTAGAAATACATTTAGTTAGATAAACAGTTGCATTGTATTTAGGTTTAAGTTTTATATTTTATTTAATTACGTTTTAAGATGCATATTTGAAAGGTTTAATTATTTTTCTATATATAAGTCCATGCCACCACATTCTGCCAAGGATGGAAGTTTCTCTGCCCAGTATACGGAAATATTAGCCGGGGACACCCACTTATGTGTTGCGATAAATAACAATGTTAAAGGACAGGAAAGGATAATAAATTATTAAAATAAATTATATGTAAAAATGTAAATACATGCAAATAAAGATGATGCTTTAAGATTATTTCACCAAATATTAAATTGTATGCATGTACAAGAAGCTGGATGTTCGTTGCTCAAAAAAAGGGATTTTAGTTTTGAGCATGGAGTATTTACTTCACTATATTTGCACTGATTCCTTTTAATTTTCTAATAATTGCACCTTTCTTGGAAGATTTTGGGTGATGGGAGTTGAAGAAAAGATAGAGGTTTTCTCAATTGGTTTGTGAAACAAGACAGATTGTATATTACTGTCATTATCGATCCTTAAGGTAACGTTCCATTGCTCGGGGTTAGAATTATAGGGCCATGATCCCTAAATCCAATGTTGTGGCTAGGGAATTTGGGCTGCAACATATATACTTGTGAATGGATCACAACCTGTAGGAAACAGAACTCTTCTAGTCTGGAATTATTAACACTCATCCTCACTCTCCAACCATGTGGGCAAGGTAATTTTCACTTTTTCCTGGAATTATGGGGTGGATGTGGAACAAATTGTGCTCAACCAAGGACCCAGGATTGGACCACTCTGCATTTGAAATTATGAGGAGACAATGGACCTTCTTCCATGAACAATGTACTGAAGCAATATTGATCAAAAAGAAGGGCCACTCCCAACCCAAAAGGATAGCCAAGTATCAAATCGGAACCAGTTTTATGAGTAGGCTTCCATGTAGGCTGGTGCCTCTCCTTCCAAAAAA